ACAATTAAGCAAATACAAGTAATCTGCAGGTAGTAATAAAATAAACCACTAACTCTTTTACGCTACGTCCGCACCTACGCGGGTATTTTTGAAAACGCAGCTGTGTCGTCCACACGGAAACGTCTGATGTTGATATGCCATCCTGGTGGAGCTGGACTACCTGTGTAGGGTGCTTTTGTGTGACAAATATACCTCTAGGTGCTGTTAACGGATAGGATTTGTAAAAACAAAACAAAAAAAAGATGGCGGTGAAGCTCTAAATCCAACTTCCTTTGCCTTCAGGTTGCTGTCAGCGGTGTTGAGGACGTCAGAAGTGGAGTCCAGGGCAACCAGAGCGAATCTGACGGAGCTTTTGAGCCCGCAAATGGGGAAGGACATCGTGTGGTTCCTCAGACGATGGGCTAAGACGTATCTGCTCGTGGACGAGAAGCTCTATGGGCAGGTATAAGGCTGAGCTAACCGATCGCTTCATCAATCAGATCTTTTCTACACTGTCGCTGTAATACACATTTTTGCACCAGTTGGTATTTTTCTACAATAATGGCCATAAAGCAGGCAGTCGTCTTCTATCCAGCTCATCCTTTTCTACCCTTCCTCAGATCAGCATCCCCCTCAGCACAGCGTTTGGTGCCGACACAGAGGGGGCCCAGTGGATTGTGGGATATCTCCTGGAAAAGGTGATCAACAACCTGACCGTGTGGAGCTCAGAGGCTGAGCTAGCCAACGACACCGTGGAGCTGCTGGTGACGCTGGTAGAGAAGCGGGAGAGGTAAGAACATGTTACTCTTTGATAGACAAATAATGTTTTCAGGTAAACGGAAATAAATGTTCAGTATTTAAACTGAATGTTTTAGATGACCTTCCCATTCCCTAATGACACATTTGTTACACATAATATAACCACATATAATTTAACCATGAGCATGTTTGCTTGCTTTTCAAAAATATTACATCTCCCTTCACATCTTGTGTTGATAAATGCAGATTTTTATAAGAAAATCTATTCTTTTCTCTGGTTAGCACTGGGCAGGAGTCACAGTGGATCGTCAGACTCTAACAGACCCGTTGCCTCCCTCTCCATTCAGGGCAAACATCGTGGTGCAGTGTGAGAGCTGGTGGAACCTGGCGAAGCAATTTGCCAGCCGCAGCCCACCTCTCCACTTGCTGTCCAGCTCCGTGCAGAGGACTCTGATGAAGGCTCTGGTCCTGGGAGGCTTTGCACAAATGGACTCTGATGCCAAGCAGCAGTACTGGGCTGAGGTGTGCTGATACGTGTAGAAGTACTTAAGTGATTTACTGATTAATGATTGTTTAGTAGTAGTGGTTGCACTGGGGGGGAGGGGGGGGGAAAGTAAATGAAGTCTTAGTACAGTGAAACAGGAGAATTAGCAGAAGAGTAAAATGTAAAAGGCTGTGACATTTTGGTAATGAGCGGCGTTGCTAAGAAGCAGTCAGTGTGTGTCTCTGTGCATCGGATAATTGTTTCAAGTGCTTGTGACGCATTAAGTTGTTTTCCCGTATAAAGTGGGTTTGATCTGTTTGTTTGCAGCCTGCTTCTCTAACTACTTCTCTCGTCTTGCACAGTTTTATCTTTTTGTAGCATCGTCTGTCAAATCTAGCAAGCCAAAGCTTTTTGCAATTCTTTTTAACATTACAGCTCTAAAAATCACAAAAAACCCTTTCAAAAAAAAAAAATCTAATTATTTAGTCCTGTTTAGAGATGAGGAGCTGCACAGAGTTCAGTGAGCTATGAGGATTAGGACAGATGGATGAAGTCGATAATATTCCTGCGTTTAGTCTTTCTCCCGTGTGTATAACATGATCCTCGCCGTGATCCTGGAGGTCCTTTTCTTAATAAGCTGACAGTAGTAAACGGGGGTGCAAAGCCACAATGACTCCAAAGTAATTATGGTGAGTGTAGGAGTGAGGTCGCAGCTGTCGGTCCGTACAGCTGTTCTGTCTGAAGTCAGATCGCTCTGTGTTTGGAAGTAGAGCGAAGCACCTGACAACTGATCAAACACGGCTTTGGTTGATCTCTACTGTAGTGATGTTTGTTTACATGGACAGAAAATTCTCTTTTATCCTACTTGTTCAAGTCACTTTGTTTGATTGAGTTCAGACAAACCCTTTAAAGGGTTACAAGGAGGGTCTTGAATATCCTCCACGCAGTTACACCATCACCAGTCTGAAACATCACAGCAGAAATTGAGACTCATCACCAAATTTGGTGAGCCTGACATTACATCAACAAGGCATATGTGCCCAGAGAATTTCCTCTCTTTTTTTGTGGATCATCTTCTGTAAATCCAGAGACGGATTTGTTGGGAAAATCCTGCTAGGTCAGCAGTTTCTCAAACGCTCCAACAAGCACGTCGGACTCCAACAGCCATGCCATGTTCAAAGTCACATAAACCACCTTTCATCCCCATTCTCGGTTGAACATAAGTTTATTTTGCCAGCATCTGCAAGTGCAATGGGTTGCTGCGCTTTTTGCTAACAAGCAACAGCTGAACAGGTGTGCCTAATTAAGTGGCCAGTGATTCTATATTATAGTCAAATACATTGTACTCTGTAGCTCTAATGCATTGTCTCGCCATCTGACCTTCTGTCTGTCGTTGCAGGTGCTTCACCCGCTCCAGCAGCGTTTTCTTAACCTCATCAACCAAGAGAACTTTGCTCAGATCAGCCAAGAAGAAGCTGTCAAACAGGAAATCGTCGCTACGTTGGAGGCGTTGTGTGGCATCGCAGAGGCGACGCAGATCGACAACGTGGCCTCGCTCTTCTCTTTCCTCATGGACTTCCTGTCCAGCTGCATTGGCCTCATGGAGGTAACAGAATCTAACCCTGTAGATATAGAGATTGAAAATGTGACGTCATTCAGGGGTAAAACCGCAAAGAATTCTGGGAACTCGTGGCAAGAGGTACTAGCGCACGCAGGCTTTCAATTGAAATCAGTTACACAGCGATAAAAAGAAACATAAAAAAATGGCAAGAAGCTGTTGTCTTATTAACTGCAATAGCCGGTCACATGACAGCCACGGGAAGCCGACGAGTAAAGAGATCGGTTGTTATCGGATTACGTCGTTGAAGAGAAATTGTTTGAGCCATGTTTCCGAAGTAAAAAGAGCCGACGGATGGCCTGGATATACCGAATATAACGTCCCAGAACACTCCAGCTCACAGGTTAGTCTGCTCCAGGCAAAACACTGGCAAAGGTCAGAGTTTTGTAGTAGTTAATACGTCATTTTTCTTAACATGCTTGTAACCTATATCACCAATTAAGTCTGGCGCTGAACAGAAATGGTGGCGCTATGCTCCTTTGTTTATTGTGCATAAACAGTGAATTGTCCTGACACAATATTGTGTTTCGCTTCTGTTATTATGGTACATTGACAAAAACATACTTTTATTCACAGGATAAAACAGTTGTTTTGTATCACTAATTGTCCAGTGCGATTACAGCATACAGTATTGTTGTCACTGCTACATTTCTGTAACGCGTACCAGAAATTATTTCCACTGCTAATTAATTACCGTTGAGCTCAAAGGTTATATTAATAAATGGGTAACGAATGTGTATTTATGACGATGATTTGTGAGACTGGTAAACGTACCTTTGTTCGTACGATGGTCTTTCGTTCTACACGGTGCATTTCAAGGTCCTGCACCCATCCGTCGGTAAACTGTACCTGAGCTTGTTGCAGTGACCTGAAGTTACTAAACTTCATGAGTGTATGCACTCACTCCAAGAACCGTATGATTATAAATCTGAGCGTGGTGAAAGTTGGGCAGCACGCTAACGTCTTTTGTCCACTCTGTGTGCTCGTGGGGGTCTGACCCTTTCACTCCTTTGATTTTTCCTCGTATCTTTTCTTCAACTTTTCGTTGAGTCTGTCTTTGTACAGACCAGAATTGTTCTCCTTCGTTTTGTACATACCTTTTTTGGGGGGCAAAGAAAAAGCAAGAATTTATTGGAACCGGAGAATGAAGGTTTGCGGTGCTGCAAATGCTTGCATTTGATGCGGTACTTGGATTGTTTTGCCACGAGTTCCCAGCATGCAATGCGCAAAAGTCACGTGGTCTGTCAATCTCTATTGAGCTGAATTAAAACCTGAATCTTTTCTTTTGTCACCCAGGTTTACAGTAACACACCGGAAACAATCAACCTCATCATTGAGGTTTTTGTGGAAGTGGCTCACAAACAGATCTGTTACCTGGGAGAGGTGAGAGACGTTTCCACTGTGTTACCTGCAGACAAGGTTTTAAAGTATAAAATGCTGGTGGTTTTCCATCTGGCATAGAAACAAACTCCAACTGTATGTCCAAGACTCACTTAATATATTTCTGAAGAAGGAAAAAACTGCACTGACAACCAAACATAGGATTTTCAATTTGACACCATCTAACGCAAATCTTGGATCACTTTGAAACTTGGTGACTCTGACCTCAAGACTAAGGTCAGAGGTCTGTTTTCCTGAGGATTTTGTAAACACAATCACTTGAGAAAGATGTCACCTAGGGTTTTCAAATTGATACCATAGAGGCATCGACTGGGGGGCTGTAGGTTAGCATTTTTATCGTCATGGAAGCACAGTTGTAATAGTGGTCACTTGTGTACTCCTGATTCAGACCAAGTCCATGAAGCTGTACGAGGCGTGCCTAACGCTGCTGCAGGTCTACTCCAAAAACAACCAGAGCAGGAAGCGAAGCGATGCCACGGCCGAGGAGGACCAGTACCAGGACCTGCTGCTCATCATGGAGCTGCTCACAAACCTGCTCTCCAAAGAGTTCATCGACTTCAGCGACACAGGTGAGGTTTTTAAAAAAATAGATTTTGCGTATTTTTCCTCTTAAAAAGAAGACGTTGCTAAAGTTTAAACTTGACCAAGTGGCTGTGCGTTCTAGATGATGTGTTTCGAAATCAAGACCAGGGAACACCAGCATCCAATCGAACAGTATCCGCTGCAGATGTCGTTCTCTATGGTGTCAATATAGTTCTTCCGCTCATGTCTCAGGACCTGCTCAAGGTAAAACATAATCACGGATGTCTCTTTATATATTGATATAATATCATGTCTGTGACATATGTGAGCTCACGCTGATCCTGTTCTCGTTATTTTCCAGTTCCCCTCTTTGTGTAACCAGTACTACAAACTCATCACCTTCATCTGTGAGATCTTTCCAGAAAAGATCCCACAGCTGCCAGAAGACCTCTTCAAGAGCCTCATGTTCTCCCTGGAGCTGGGAATGACCTCGTATCCTCTTGCTGTGCCAGCAGTATTGATTGTTATGGTGGGATTTATGAGAGAATACCCAGTATCTGTAGAATATCCACATATTGGCTGTAGAGGTGGGCGGATTGATCCAAATATCGATAGCATTGATCTCAACGCTGGTGTTGATATCGGTTTGATACTAGTGGAATAGGATCGATCCTTTTTCTATCCTTTAAGTTCAGTATGTAGCCTGCATAATTACATAATTACATAGAACTGTTGACATAGATGTTGTCTGGAATACGGCAACAATCTCTCTAAATACTCAGAAGGCCACACCACGGGAGATTTGTTCTTTTCTTGCACTTAGAGTCGTTTTCCTGTTTGCCTGCTGCAGCTGTGGACGAGCCTGTCAACAGGCAAAAATGATTTTGTCAAAATAGTTTGTGCTCCTTAACATCTGTTTCAGGATGAGTTCTGAAATCAGCCAGCTGTGTTTGGAGGCTCTGTCTCCTCTGGCTGAACAGTGCGCTAAAAACCAGGAGAAGGACTCTCCTCTCTTTATCGCCACCCGTCATTTCCTCAAGGTACGATACGCACTTCATGTTGTCATGACAGCATTACAATAAAACTTTTATAAAGGAAGAAAAGGGGGGGAGAGTACTAATAAGTAAACAAATGCACACCAGCTCACGCCGTCCTCTGTGCACTCAGTTGGTGTTTGACATGCTGGTCCTGCAAAAACACAACACAGAGATGACCGTGGCGGCGGGAGAAGCCCTCTACACACTCGTGTGCCTGCACCAGGTGAGTAACACACAGTGCATGCAGCTCAGTGAAAATCTTTTTTCCCTCCCTCTCTTGTTCTGTGCAACAAATAAAGGCTTTTAAGATGCTGAAGGTCTTTCTTTTTGAAGGTTCCCAGGCTCTGCTTTTGTTCAGCTTTTAAATTGGAATTTCTTTTCTAAGCAGCATTTTAAAATGTGGGCTTCATCAAATACAGAAGTGCTTCAGGCTGAAACCCACAACTGTGCCGTTATTAACAGACTTTTACTCGGTGGCAAAAATGTGTTGATTACTGGACATAAAGCTTTTTGGTTTTTTTCCTCCTTTTTTGTGCGCTTTTAGCAAATGATTGAAACAAGCTGGCTTTCTGTTTCTGCCTTACAGTTAAATGTGACGGCACATTTTTAAAAGTAACAACTGTATATGTAAGAAAATCCCTTTACTGGGACCTGAGTTGCTCCTGGCGTGCAGGCACAGTTTCATAAATGACACAAGAAGCCCTCTAGTGGCTAGTTTGCAAAAACACAGCTGCACAAAAACTTGACCAGTTTTGTGATGTGCGAGTAGTTATTCTTTCAACCAGAGCTATTACATCGGGCAGTGGTTGAAAGATATGCAGATTCCAACTATGTATTTATTTATATACTTATAATACTGACTGTTAGCGTATAGTGACAACTAAACAAACATACACAAATGCAGTTAAAAGGCCACATGACATTAATACCCAAAGATAAAACATTTTGGATGTTATTTTCATGACAGTAAACAACTAATATTCATTAAATCTATTTTCTGAATATCCATCCATTGCGTTTATCCGGGGCCGTGTCGCGGGGGCAGCAGCCTAAGCAGAAAAGCCCAGACCTCCCTCTCCCCGGCCACCACCTCCAGCTTGTCCAGTGAAACACCAAGCGGTTCCAAGGCCAGCCGAGAGATATAACCTCTCCAGCGTGTCCTGGGTCTGCCCCGGGGCCTCCTCCCGGTGGGACATGCCCTGAAAGCATACTCGTCAGATGCTATCTCACCCTATCTCTAAGGGAGAGGCCAGCCACCCTTTGGAGGAAGCTCATTTCTGCCACTTGTATCTGCGATCTTGTTCTTTCGGTCACTACCCACAGCTCATGACCATAGGTGAGGGTAGGGATGTAGATCGACCGGTAAATTGAGAGCTTCACTTTTACACTCCGTTCTCTCTTCAGCACGAAGGACCGGTGCAGCGTCCGTCGTCTGTCGATCTCCTACTCCCCTCTCCCGTCACTCGTGAGCAAGACCCCGAGATACTTGAACTCCTCCACTTCTTTTCTCATTAAATCCTCTGCAAACTACTAGTGTTCATTTTTATAAAATAACGAATACTTTATTTAAAAGTTGGGAAATTTTACAGAATTGCAAGCAGAGATACCGACATGTGACTATGACGTGTGCAGTGGATTACACTGTAAACTGGAACATTGAATCTTGTGTATGTTTTCTTCTTTTTAACAATATAAATTATAAAATTAAAACAATTTTTCAATGTATTATAATGAAAGAGGGATAATACTATCTGCTTTAACCCTTGCCTTCGTTTGACACTAATCTGATGCTACATTGGTTTTCCATGTCAGGCGGAGTACTCGGAGCTGGTTGAGACCCTGCTGTCCTCTCAGAGAGACGCCATAATCTACCAGCGGTTAGCCGACGCCTTCAACAAGCTGACAGCCAGCAGCACGCCACCCACCATGGACCGCAAGCAGAAGGTTGCCTTCCTCAAAAGCCTGGAGGAGTTTGTAGCCAACGTCGGCGGCCTGCTCTGCGTGAAATAACCACTGGAAAACCAAACCGGCCTCTAATCATCGTCGTTCTGAAAAGCAACCAATCAAAGACGTCCCCTGCTTCATCCCTGAGAACTATGGGTAGAAGGGACGGCTGAAAGCCTCGGAGGACCTCTCTGGCAGCTGGGGCCGGTTGATCTCATGCCTGAATGTTTACCCTGTTTTCACCTCCTTGGATGTCTCTCCCCCCCCCCCCCCTTTCCTACTGTTACACCCGCCTGCCCAGCACGATCAGCAGACGCGATGAAGAGGAGGAGGAGCTAATTGTGGAGATTAAACTGCTGAGCAGATGGACTCAGAGGTTCATGTTAGACTGAAGCAACTGAGCACGGACTGTCAAGCAGCAGCCGATGATTGCTGGTGTCCTCCCTTTCCACCTCCTCCTGCTCCTCCTCCCCCTCCTCATGTGCCTGGATCTTTCTGGAGCGCGCGCGCGCACACACACACACACACACACACACACACACACACACAGGGACATAGAGAGCGACACTAAGGGCAAAACAAGTTGCTGTTCTTCAGGTTTTGTATGCAGTTAGAGGCATTAGAGGGGCCAACCCACCCTAGTTCAAATACACACACACGTCACCCCAGTCCTTCCCAGAGTGCCTTTGTTCTGCCGATTGTTCTCTATGTGCGTCTGTGTGTTATAAGGAGAGAGAATCATGCCATACGAAAAATGACAACCAGTAAGGACCGTGCCTGCCAAAAACCTAAGAAGACATACAAAGCATGAGGTGTGGCCGGCTGTCTTTGAGGCTGCTGATGCACTCGGAACAGGAGGACATTTGTTTGTTGGGAACGGGAACGTCAGAAAACCAAATTGAGATTGTGTTTGACTAAAGGGTGTAAATATCTATAAATATATAATGTTTTCAAGGCTGATACCCTTCAGAAATGTACGTTACGGGAATTAAAGATGACGGAAATGTTTTTATACACCAGTAAAAGGCAGGCAGAGATGTACGAGTTCAACAATGTATGAATTCAGCTAAAGAGGGAGCAATTTTCTCGCTGTTGACCTTTGCTGTTTGATATAGTTTTGTTTTTTTTCCCTTCCTATTTGGATTTTAGTTTATATTGTGGCCCCCTTGCCTCTGGACACGTGAAGGCCAGAGACAGATGGCGCCTTGAAAGTTTAGCAGGATGATTTTATTAGTATTTTTCTACAGCAGCACCTCCACCCGATCACTCTTCAACACACACACTGGATATTACAGAGACTGTTGGAGTTGAAGGACAGCAATAACAAACCAAATAAAAAGGATCAGAGCCACTTGCTGAAGCATTATGTTGGAGACAGAACCCTCCTCGTTCACAGTCCTATCCCTGTTATTGTAGATGGCTGTTTTGTTAATGAAGTGTAAAGTGTACATAAACGTATTGTATAAAACGTCCTGGCTTCTGTACTTTCTTTGACATGTGCGCTGGCTGTAGTAAACTGTTGATTTGTCGATTGTTCTACAGCAGACCTTTGAGTCTGCAGACTGTGAAGGCAGATACGTTTCAAGACATCCTGATCAGTCTTTGTTTTTTGTGAACCTTTAAAAGATTATGGAAAGATTTTCATTAAAGGAAATGATCAGAAGTGGAGGATCGCCCAATCCAGAAGTGATCTGGATCCAGGAATCTTTGGAAGGATTCTTTACAAATGTAAGAAAAGACTAAATTGGTCTTTACAAATACGTATCCGACTGAGTTAGTATTAATGTTGTCGAGAAAGCATCTCTTTCTGGATCCTGGGAATCAGTTAATGGGTGGTTTTAGCTTTAGCAAGAGTATGGAAGTGCTTACAGCCTCAAAAGGTTTTATTTCAGAAACAGAGTAGAAAGTAGAAATCTTTCTATATTTACAGCTTATTTTGAATTGTTACACTATAAATGTTGTGGTTTGTAGTGAGCTTCACATTTTATCATAGCTGGAACCAACCAGTAGAGAATTTCAGGGGTAAATGTTTGATGGGGGTTCAAAATTTAGGAATATTCAAAATTGAGAATATTTGGGGTCTTGTAGAATAGAATAGAATAGAATAGCCTTTATTGTCATTGTACAGAGTACAACGAAATTGGAGTGCCACTCCCTTGGTGCAAGTTTCAATAATAAATATAAATGTAAAATA